ATATTTAGCAAAAATTCTTCAAAGCTGTTTGCATGTCACTAGCCCTCTTCATTAATTTCTCCTGACATGTTGGGCTTTCAATGTGTAAAGCTTTTGACTATTTAAATAATTTTAATGGTCACCTAGCAAAGACTGGGTTAGAGATGCCCATAGCCATGCAGCCCAGAAGTCAGGACTATATTTCTAGGCTGCACCTGGATGAAGTTGTCCTCTCATGGCCACTGACGCCATGTCTTGAGTGATGAGCCATTCATGATGTGCTAAGAAAGAGTAACTGGCACTTTGCTGCTCTCCTGTGACATGCAGACATTCCTTGACACGGCTGTTCTCACCCTTCCCCTCTCTTTGCTCTACACTCTTGCCTTAGTTGACATCTTCCCTTGGCTTGGGCTGTCTCTCTCTTCAGATGACCACAAAAATACATATATAAATATCCATATAAACATGAAACCCTATCTAGTCCTCACCTTGCCCCTGAACTCCAAATTCAGGTTTTGAAAACTTTAAACATCATGTTTGATATTTTTACATAGGAGTCCCAATAGTGAGAAAACATATTGTAACATCCAAAGCAAACATTTGCTTTCTTCACGAGTCTGTCTTCTTCTTGTGTCCCCTATTTCTGTCCTCCAGGGCTTGAAAAACCTCCCATTTCCCTTCCCCCACATTCAGTGTCACTTTTCTCCTACCTCCAAACTGCTTCTTGAATTTGTCTCATTCTTTCCATTTTCATTTCAATTACCCTGGTTCAGGTTCCTATGACTTCTCACCCAAATAACTGATACTGTTTTATGACTTAATCTCCTGACTTCCACCTCTCTTGTCTCTGAAACTTTCTCCTCCATGGCTATAAAACTTCCTGGAGAAGACGGAACCAGCTCTCAGCTCATGCCTGAGACCACACAGTGTCATGCATCTGTCTGTGTTGTGCCCTCTGCTGGGGTGTTGTTTCCACCCTTCTCTGTCTGGTTAATACTGGTGTGTCCCTCAAGGCTCAGTTCCTGTACCCCTACCTCCAAATCTATCCTTGAATCCATTTCTTCTGAGCTCCACCACATTCTAAGCCTCCCTCTATCTAGGTACTTACCATATTAAATGGAATGATCTCTTTAGGTGTCTGTCTTCTCTGCCCCTCAAGCCCAGAATTTTCTTAGTACAGGGACACTATCTTATCAATCTCTGTGCCCTCAGTGCCAAGCACAGTGCGTGCCACACAATCAGTGTTCAGAGCACTGTTTATCTGAACAAAAGCTTAGTTTGAAACACCACAGGGGAAAATAGGAACATAATTGTTGGTTCATGGAGATATCATGCTAGCCAAAGCAATCAGAGAAAGTTTAATTTAGTTTAGCCTGAGAATGAAATTATGATTATAGATCTGAAAAACATTGGAGAGAAGATATGATTAAAATCAAGTGGTTTTTTGCGAGAGCATGCATGCTGCAATAGGAGATTGAGATTCTGAATCAAGTATAATTGAAGTATTTATGGACTGATGAGAAGACTCATGTGATCGATTCACAAAAGGGAAAAGGTACAATAACTCAAAGAAGCCAAGAAAAGTCACTGGTGATAGCTATCTTAATCGAGAAGAAAGACATGTACTGCAACACAGGCACATGTTAAAGCAGACATTAACTTGGGTGGCAACAGCATTTCCTGCTCCTCAAATCCCACCTGGAATCAATGAATGGGCCTGAGGCTGTGCTTTGGAAAGTCATCTCAAGTGATGATTTGCTAGTTCCTGGCCAAACTTTGTGCTGTTCACCAAGGAAACACCCATGGTTATTTGGATTACACAGCAACCTCAAAACAGCTGGAAGATATTAGTCAATCAGAGCCACACAGGACTGGCAGAAGATGGCAAAATGGAACCAAATCAAAGGTTCCTTGCTTTGTTTTCAATCTAAAGTTCCATATTCTACACAAGGCCGTGTCCATGCCTGGCCAGTAGCTATGTTTTAAACTAGCCCTATCTTCCTAAATTGAGGACTAGAAGGCCCACCGGAGGATAACTCCCCTATGGAATAAAAATAAAGGTTCAATAAGGAAAACACTTGAAAAATGCTGTGTTGGCATTAGGATAATGATGCAAAATGTTTTATGAGTATATGTAAGAATGCACTTTTTATGGAATCGTTGAATTGGAAGAAGAGAACAGAGACCCTAACAAAAAACAATGAACTGGGCTTTGGGCCCAGACGCCTGCCTCGCTAGCCATACAGCCCAGGACAGGTTACACCATCTTTCTAATCTTCAGGTCTCTCATTTAGAAAATGGGGGCAAAAGATGCCAGAAATGGGACCAATATTCACAGGATTATGAGAATTGACACAATGTATGTTTCTTCATCTATCAAATGTAGAAAATTATACATACTGGTTTCTGTAGAGATTAAATAACACAATGAATGTAAAGTACCTGACTGGGTACCTGGCCTGTAATCCAGGCTGATAAATCTTAGCAAGTACAATGAAGGTAACAATGAAGCGAATCCTTCTGTAGAGAATGCTGCATACTAGGCCCTGTTTATGTATATCAGCAGAGTTCTTCACTAACACACTATTATCTGTCATTCCCATTTTATAGAACCCAGGCTGTCTGGCTGCAGAGGATGACAATAATGATGGAGGTGATCTTGGTGATGACAACAATATAAAGCACCTAGTAGAATGCCTGGTGCATGGTAAATTCTCAGTAAATGCTTGCTATTATTATAATGCTGGTATTGTTTGTAAAGATTTCTAAAGATGGAAGTGCTACATCTATTTTAGCTACTTATTCAAGGATTAAATTGCTTTTATCTTCTTTCCTATATCTTAAAACTCTTTCTTGGTATCAGTGAAGCCTATTTTCTCATTTTAGATCTCCAGAGTGGAAGAGAATAAAAACTCCCCTGAAATAATTACTCTTGTTGAGGATATTTAGTAAGTTATTGACTCCAATCCCCTTAAGGATTTTTAAAAAATGGGTGCTACTTTGCTTTCCATGCATTTAATCTTACTTGTTGCTTTTACCTAAGACCTTCAGAGTTTTCTTTCATTCCTCTTTGAAAGCTGAAAGAAAAAGTGGACTCTGTTTTCTGATACTGGTGTCACTGTTGTGGTGATTAGTGGAAGAGTCATTCCTTGATGATAACTCTAATTCTAACTCAGGCTTTGTTCGTGTGTGACTGTGAAAAGTCAGAGCAGTGGATCTGACTTTTCATCTTTTGGCTGATTGTATAAACATGATACCATTTATGTAAAGGGCTGATTTGAGGATTAAATGTGATACTGCTTGTAAAAGCAACGATAGCATGGTCCCCAACAAATACCAATCAAGACATCAACTAATACCAGATGAGGAATCTGATACCTTCAATTAAAAATGTATTCTTATATCCCTTTGTAGCACTGTGAATCCTCTAAGGGCCTCTGTTTCTGCCCGCAGGGTAGGACTCAATGTTGTCTGCATGTTCTTGTGGCATCCAGGGCTATTCAGGATCTGGTGCCTACGACTCTGGCAGCCTCCTCTCTTGACACTGTCTCCCACCAAGGTGTGCTTTTCTCAGCCATACCAAATACTCTGTCCTTCTCTGAACTCACTGCGCAATCCTATACCTCTGTGCACTTGTGCATACTGCTTCCTGTGTCGGACATGCCTTGACTTCTTAAGCACATGGGAAATTCCTCAGCATCTTTCAAGAGTAAATTCAAACATTACATTCTCCACGAAGCCTTTCCTCATTTCGTCTCATAGCATTGTGTGCAAAATTCTCTACAGAACTTAGGAAATTTAGTTGACTTTGAGTTCGTTCTTTGAGGGCAGAAGCTGTATCTTAGTTTTCTATCTCAAATGCCTGGTGTGCATTGAGAACTTAAGAAGTGAGTGAATCACTGAACCATACTCATTCTCCAGTCTTAGGATAGGAACCATCTCCCATTACCCTCACCTCCTCTGAATCACCCATTTTGGCCCTTAGCCAACTATTGCCTTACCCTGAAGCTCAGAGCCAATCTGGCACTGTCCTGGTGCTCTCCATGTCCAGGGCAATGAATACTCGTCAAATGAGCAACTATGTAAGACGATCCAATCATTCAACATCATGTTGTTCACATAGCTTTATATAAAATCTTATGCTGTTTTATCCTAAATAACTGCATATGGATTTTTAAAAAAGCAAATGGTTTAATTTTTACATTTCTTACATTTTGAAATTAGACATCTGGTTATTATTATAAAGATCTTTCCTCTTGGAAATGATAGAACTTTTATTAATCTCTGGATACAGTTTAGATCTTTTGAAAAATGAGGCTCTTCCAGAGTTTTGGGTTAAAATGGTGGATTAAAAACTGCATCACAGAAGTTCTAATCCCCAATACTTAGCAAAAATAATGAAACTTCCCCCAAAAGAACAATTACAAATAAGAACCAAAAAGGGAAAGGCAATCAGCTTGAAATACTTCATGGAAAAGAAACACAAGATTCCACAGTAGAATGGAGAAGCAGGGTACAGCTTGGCTCCCAACCCTTCTCCCTTTGCCCTGAAATGAGGCTTAGCTTTCTCTTTAGACAAAATAATCTGATTTTGTTTGTGATTTTAAGGAACACTCAGCCCCTCCTAAATTATTTGTGTAAATTGACCGGAGCACAATTTCTAATGTGAAATCTCCAAACAATAGTCATGCTTAGGAAATACTGAAGTGTCTTAATATTTTCAGGAGCAGTAGCAGTACTAACTGGTTCCTCAGCATTGAGAGTTTTGTGAAACTGCAAAAGAGCAGGCAATGTGAGAGCAAGGGGAGAGCAGAAGGAGGAGGAGCCGGGGACACAGAGAATACATACCCTGGATGATCAAAAAGAAAGCCATGGGATAGTCCAGTTTTATGTAGACATTTTCACACCGATACATTTTTTTGGACTGGCTAATTAGGGTTCAGATAATTTTCTCCAAGACTTTAGGAATGTGTCCAGGTTTGGACCCAGGTTATTTTCTTGGTCCATAAGTAGAAGATTACCTGTAAATTATCCAGGATGATTCGGAGGGAGTGCACCTGTCGCCGAACAGCACCTGAAAACCTTTCATAGGTTGCAGCATCGTATTCACTCATTTGGATCTCCTTTAGCCTGAAACCAGAGGAGTATAAAAAGTTAACAGCTTAAATCACATAAATGTGGGTTTTTACTTTCATTCACCTCCTGCTAGAACTTTAGCAAACTTCTTGGAAACTCAGATTCATGTTAATGAGAAAAGGCAAGAAGCGATGTCTCCAGCTATGCTTCCATATTCAAAGAAGGTAACATCCAGTAGTGTGCTAGTAAATGGTTAACAAACTAGGACAAGAAAAAAGTCCTAGATTTGTAGTGTTTGCTGATTTCCATGATGTAAATATTGCCACCATGATCAGTTACAAGCTATGAACAGTGAGTTAGAAAAAAATGTGCACCATTGGCTCTCATGAGCCAGTATGAATTGGCTTTGTGGTACACCATTGCTATATCCCAAAGCCATACTGTGATGTTTGCAGCCGATCAGTTCATGTGGCAGATTCCTAAGAGGGTTCCCATGGGTTGCTTTTTAAGATTGAGATCATGTATTTGGTTGACCAAGATAACAGTTCAAGCCTAAAGAACGTAAGTGAATGTGCTGCTCTGTATTCCTATGTGAGAGTTTTCTAAAATCGCTGACAGTGTAATCTAGACAGGACAATTGTATTTTAATATTACTGTGGCTTTGAAATTCTGTCTTCCCAGTATGCTGCTCCTTTTTATCAGTTTTTATCATTTGCTTCACTGAAGCCCCACCAGCACACTGGAAGCTCCCCATACACATTACATGCCCTGCAAGTGCTTCTCTCCCACTTGGAGTGTCCTTCCGCTGACTTTGCCTACTAACTCCTACTTACTCTTCAAGACTCAAGTCAATGACTGCCTCCTCCAGGAAGCCTGCTGTGACCCCCCAGGTCTCTCTTCTGTGCTCTTATCTCACTTCATTCTTCCCTCAGAGAATTTGCTCTCCATGCTGTAACTATCTGCCTTCTGTCTCCCCAACTAGGCTCTATGCTTCTTTAGATAAGGGCTGAGTCTTTCTCATCTTTATCTTTACAGTGCCTAGCATGGAACTAACATATAATGGGTGCTCAGAATAAATAGAAATGAATGACTGAAATAAAAATACAACTCAGCATTACTTAAAATGCAGCATCTTAAACAGTCAGTAGAAAGTTCATTCAAAGAGTGACCTCTCTCGGGTTTTACAGTGTTGTATCCACAATACACTAACTTAATCACACATTTCTATAAATTTCTATTAATATAAAAGGTACTGATACTAGGACAAAGAAGAGTAAGTGCAAATCTCAAAAGCCCAAGCATAACATAATCTTCTAAACTGGTGTGTGTATATGCATGCAATGTTGGAGATATGAATCCTAGGTGCACAGCAGAAACTCTTATCTAATGTGTATATTTTATCACCTTGAGCTAAAACAGAAACCTCAAATACTGAATGAGAATAAATGTTCTCTAGTCTTCCCTGTCAGGTTGGGAAAAATCCATTCACCATGGGGGAGAGCTCTAGAAGCTTATTACGATTACATAATGCTGGGTCTAGACTACCATGGGGTAGACTGGCATTCCTGCCCTATCACCCCACTGGATAATACCAACTTAGGTTTCAAGATCTAGCTCAAAGGCTACATCCTTTCTGAAGTCTTGCTTGAGCGCTTGCATAAAGCTGGCCATTCCCTTTTCATGTGCCCTACACAGACATCTACCATGAAACTCGCATACTTTATGGCTTTAATAGATAGGCCTGTTGCCCTCTCTTATGGTGTTTTCAAATTTTTCTTTCCATGGTAGGAAATGTTTTACATTGAGATCTTGTAAAAACAAATGCATGTATGTATATAGGATAACTGAAACAAAAATTGAATGACAAATAATTTTATTACATAGGATGTACTCTGATGTTTTCTATTCTATTCCTCAGGGAGAAGGACCATGTTTTATTTTTTCATTGAACTTCCAGTACCTACCACTATACCTGGCACACAGTGGCACTCAATAAGTGCTGCTGGATGGCTCTTTGAAAATACTGACTATTACAAGGTAAATACAGACGAGGCCACTATAATATCTGAATGGTTGTATCTTGAGGTGACATGCCAGGGTGCCTTTCTAAATCTAATTAACTCTCAGTCCTGAAGAATAAAAAGAAATATGTGTATAGGACTTGACCTCCTGACAATACCTCTTGTATTTAGTTTCTGGAAGTCTCTGAAATCTCTCTATGACTTTTTATTAGATTAAGTTATGTCTCAAGTATCAAAGCTGACAGAAGCTGGGCACAATGAACAATGCAGGACACACCACCTACCCCTTCGTACCTAAACTGGTGTGTGTGTGTATGTCAATATGCTTCCTCTTAAAGAAGGGAGATTAGCACTGATTAGAAACAAATGTAGACACAGCTGTCCTTGGGGTGGGGAGGGGATGGAGGAGAGAGAGAGAGAAAAAAAAATATATATATATATACACACATATATAGCATAGTGCCTAACATATAATGGATGCTCAAAATGAACTGAATGGCTGAAATAAAAATACAACTCAGGATTATTTAAAATGCAGCAACTTAACCTAACTGTAAGTAGAAAGTTCATTTGCTGGGTGACCTCTCTTGGGTTTTACAGTGCCGTATCCATAATGCGCTAATTTAATCACATATCTCTATAAATATAAAAGGTGCTGATATTAGGACAGGGAATAATGAACATATATCTCAAAAGCCTAACCACAACACAATCTTCTGAACTACTGTGTGTGTGTAGGTGCGCACACATGCAATGTTGGAGGTATGGGTTGTAGATGTATATGTAAATACAAACACATATACACACATAAAAACACGTATGTACATACACACATACATATCAAGGAAGGAGCTAGCCATTTGGTAAGCCACCTCGAGCAGACTGGTCTTTGCAGAGTGATCAGAATTAGCTCCAGTTATAGGGCTACCACTGGTGCGATCATGTTGCACCCAAAACACACCACATGCTGTTTTAATTATGAAGAAATCTGGAAACCATATTCCAGATCGTGTCGGTTTTCAGAAAGATCACCTACAAGGCAATCAAAGCTGATAAAATTTGAAAGATGATGACTGAAGCAGGGGACGTAGAAAGAAAAGAGAAATTTTAGCCTCTGGATCAAATGAGGTACCCATTGCTAATACTCTCAAGCCCACAAAACTAGCTGGAAATATATCTTTCTGCTTCTTTAACCCTGATCAAAACTGCAGGGCACAGCTGCTTCACATCCTAGTAATCTATGTGGACTAACTGCATTTTGTTGGCACAGTATATTTTTAAAGGGTATATTTATTGTTACGTAAGAGTCTGGGAATTTTAGTTCTCATTTTACTTTTTCTTATAGGTCAGACTTAAATACTATAATTTTGAATCAATTATAAGGAAAACAAACATAAGCTTAGATCCACTGTGTGAGGCTGATTAATTTTGCAAATGGTAGTGGATGCAATCTCCACAGCTGGTGCCCACCCTAAACGCTTTTTCTAAGTGTGTACATGTACCTCACTGTCTATTTCATTTGCTTTTCACTGGTATAATGTTTCTGTTCTATTTTATTCACGTTTTATGCTTGTCTCTCTTTGTTAGTCTGCCTGAGTTAATATATTCTTGATATGTAGGGGCTGGTATCTAGCTTAAAACCAGATACACATAGATGCTATCAAAATGCTGTGTTGATGATGTCAGGAACCCACTTAGCAGCATTAGGCTCTCCAAGGCACTAGCACAAACTTTCTGGCTCATAGCTAGGACTGCCTAGTTTCAGTCAGTCTCTGAATTAAGTACTAAAGGATGACTCCCTTACTTGTATGCATGTGTGTATCATTCATTCCACAAATACATATGAAGGTTTGCTACATACCAGGTTCTGGGTGTAGGTCCTGGGGTTACACTAGAGCACAAAACAGACGGATGCCTGACCCCCAGAAACTTACAGTCAGTGGAGAGATAATCAACTATTCACAAATCACATAATGGGAAACAGTGCTAAGAGTTATGGAGAAAAGGTACAGGATGCCATAAAAGGATCAATGGTGGGAACTGACCTCATTCTGCATATGCGTAAGTGGCAAAATTGTTTTAAAACTTATTATTTGATGATAGTGAAGAATTATTACTTTTTAAAGACTTAATAATAGTATTGTGAGTTTGTATTTTTTTTTTGTTTTTATATTATGGAGATACACTTGGGAATATTTACAATGAAATGATAGAAGTCTTGGATTAGCTTCAAAACAAGCCGGCAGAGAAGACTAGGAGTGGAGCCAGATTTTTCTTCTTGCAGTTGGGGGGGTCGGGTCCATAGCATTCATTATACGTTCTTCTCAACTTTTATGTTTGAAAAGTTCCTCATAAAAAGTTGAAAAATTTTCAGCAGCATTAAATGAAATACTCACCAAATGGGATGAAAGTTCCATTTCCACATGAAAATAGAAAGCAACATCTTTCTCTTGGTGTTTTGCTGTGCCCCATCTTTCTCAGGATCTCCATGTGTTTCTATTTCTTTCTCTCGTTTCTCACACCCTTGCCCAGCTCCTCTGTCTTTCAACCACCTTATGGTATTCTCTTTTACTTCAACTGCGACTCTTCTCTGCAGCATTTACTTGATGTGTATATTTTCCTCATCCCTTCCCCGTATCCTCTCTTTCCTCTCTTACACCCGTTAAATTCATTTGCGTTATGGCACAGATGCCCCTTGACTTCTTCCCCTGTAGGGCAATTGTCCTTAACAGAACCACACTCCTTACTCCTATTACGGCAACAGGAGAAGGAGGTACAAGCACTGTTACCTTTCTGCCTCCCTGTGAACTATGTGTGTGCCAGAACACTCTATCTACCTGTCCACTTGGGCAAAAATTTAGACTGAATAATTACTTGGCAGGTTTTAAGGGTGGCAACCATAGGAACTCATTAATTGGGGAGGGGAGAATGACACATGTCCAACTGTTTAGTTCTTTTCCTAAATGCGTACTTTATAATTCGTAAATGTAGAGAACTTTCTTTCTAACAAGACCGTTCACTACACTATTCTCTACCTTTTTTTGAGACGTTTAAACACTTTCATTCCTAACATAGTTACTTGTTCTCATAACCTCCCTGGGAGAAAGGGAGAGTGAATTTTATTTCCAGAAGAGCAAATTCAGGCACAAGGAGGACAGATAAACTGTCAACAGTCACCAGGGAAGCCAGCAGAAGGGCTGAGAGCAACACTCTTGCCTCTAGCATCGAGTGTGTTATTTACCTGCTGAACCCTGAACCCGCGAGGGTCTGAACTGGCAGGCTTTCCTGAGGGTGTGGCGGCAGGGCCTGCATTCTTGTCTCTATTGTCCTGTACTGTTTACTTGCAGGATGTGGAAGCACAGCATGTAATGTAATACCAGATGTTCTACGTGGGAGGAATTTCATAACTCATACACTTTAGCATGCTTTTTTCTAACTGCGCCCAGCTCCTCTCATGCAGCACAAAAATGTAAATCTGCTTCCCAAATTATTACCAGGTCCTGGAATCTGAAAGGAAATATTGGTGGTTCTTTGGTATTTTTCACTTTTAGCTGAAGCACACATGTGGATGTCTAGGGTAACATCATGTGGATTCTTCTTATTTTTTAAATGGCTCCAACTGTAGTGGCCCAGAACAGCTGGGGAATGTCCAAGGGCCACAGGGTCATTGGCCTATATTAAGGTCTCTACTCACTGATGAGGCCTCCCCATCCAAACTCACTGTCCCTCCTCCCGAGCTGGTACCCATTATCCTGCGTGGGCAAGCTGCCTCTCTCTGCCACAGACACTATGCTCATCCTGCCCTGGTGCCTCTGCTCATTTCGTTTTCCCTTTCTGGAATATTCTGGCTCTTCTCTTCCCATCTCTAAGTCCTAGCTGAGCTCTGGCCGCACCTCACAGCAGCCCACTAAACTTGCCTTTCTTTGCACTGCTGGAGGGGACAACCTCTGCACCCTATGACTTTAGCACTTAACTCTCTCTGTGTGTGTGTGTGTGTGTGTGTGTGTGTGTGTGTGTGTGTTCCCTTGTCCTGTCTCCGTACTAATCTGCAAGATTTCTGAGGGCAGGAAGGGACCATCGTGTAGACTTACCTGAATTCCCTATGTTGCCTAGGAACAGATAGACATGGATGGGGTGATTTGAGCTTTAGATTTTAAGGAGCCTGAGTAGAAAGAACAGGGGATTTTGTTTATTTGGCTGTTTCAGTTAGGGATGGGGATATCTGTGGATTTCAGTTTGAGGTCCGAGTTGCAGCATGAGGTGGAAACGCACACAAATCTAGGTTTCCCCATAGTCCACCGTGACATTTCACCATAACAGTAGTGCTGCTCTAAACGCGATGGGAACACTGACCTCTGCTGGAATGCTCTCTGGCCCATCTCTCTAGCAGCTCTCTTGACCTCCTCGGGAACTGCATCTTTCTCAGCCTGAGAGACCTGGTACACCGTATGGCCTGCATCCAGCCGGTAAGGGCCTCCTTTGCCACCCAGGCCTGCCGTGTCTCTTCCCCCTGGAAGGAAAATATGGAAATTCGGATGATAAATCTGAACTTGACCACCGAACAAAAGTTGGGTCATGGTTTTAGGACAGGCTTGTGGAGGATATTAACTGTACTTAACTCATAATTAAACAGTCAAATTACCTTCTTCTGGAAAAAGATGTATTCTCTTGTTTAGGATGTTTTTCCTTTTTCCCATCTGTTCAAATACTACCTATATATCAAAGCTTACTCCAACTTCTACGACACCTTAGCTAATGCTGCTACCTCATAGGGATTCATACTCTTGTGTACTATTTCATATTTATTTTTCTCACTAACTATATGATAGATGAGATATTTTATTTATTTTTGTACTACCATACCTATAAGAGTGGTTTGAATATCAATAGATACTTAGTATATATTTGCTAATTAAATGAACAACTGTTCCCTTCCCTCAGGTATTACCTTAGTTTTCCTTAAAATACCTGGACAGTCAGGCTATAAATACTGTTTTTTTCTGCTTTGCAAGTTATAAAAATAATGCACAGAGAGGCTAAATATTCATGACCTGATATCACTGGCTTAGCCAAGATTAGAAGCCAATTATTACACCCACTTTGACTTTTGGTTTGAACAGTATATAACGTAAACACCACCAGCTTTAGAACAGTCTTTCAATAGACACTCAAGTTCACACAATACATATTACATATACATATTACATTTTATAACATAACATTGTATGAACTGTTCATGTTGTAAATGCCTGTAAGGCCAGGTAGGTCATATGATAAAAAGTTGTGGGGACATTGACTAACTTACAGAGGATTTACCTTGTCTAAATACATCCAAATTGAAATTATTTTAAAACACTACATGGACCAGAGGAAAAAAATACATCTGTTGGCTAGATTTGGCCTTTGGGCTATAAGCTTGTTACCCCTATTTAGGGGTAGATTAGAATACTAGTAACTCGTTTCTTTTGTTTATTCACATGTAACTTGAGAACTTAGAAGAGAATCCAATATTGGAGGGGCAGTATAGGACAGTATGGTATATTATAATACGCTGCTATTGTATGTTATGATATAGTTAAACCAGACTGCTTGGGTTTGAATCCTGGTTCCAACCCACCAGCCATTTATCTTTGGGGAATTACTTAACTTCTCTGTGTCTCAGGCTCCTCTCTATAAAGTGGGGATACTAATATTATTTCCTTCATGGGATTGTCATGAAGCTAAAATGCTTACAGCAATATCTGGCACATAATAAAAGGTATATAACGGACTGCTTTTACTATTATAAAACAAAGCCTAGTTATGCAGAATTAGGCAATTTCTAGTTTCATAAAGTGGAAAATTTGAAGGCTTTTAGACTTTTGGTAAATTATGTTACATTTTTCTTTCACCATCACCACCCCCACCCCCACCCCCACCTCACCACTGAGCTTTAACTGGTCTATAAAACTAAAACCAAGAACTCAATATGAACTGCTCCCCTTTTGAAAGTCCGGGTAGGTCATTTCTTTTTGGGAAATACTATGAGAACTGCCTATTAATTACACTACTCTAATCTTTTGATTGGAACATATTTCACTTTCATTTAGAAATGGGTGGTGGAAAATTCCTTCTGGGATGTGTGTGACTCCCATTTCTTACTCATGGCCAGCCAATAGGCGGAGGGGTGCAGTAACTGGACAGTGACAATGAGCTATGGGAGGAAAAGGTGTTTCTGGGATCTAACTCCTTTCCTACAGCAGGGTATCCTGAGTATGGGTGGATCATGAATTTGAGCTGAAAGTTTCCTAGGTGCTGAGATGTTATCATTCTGGTGAAAGGGAGAAAGTGGTGGAAACATCAGAAGCTGGTGTGAGTGACTGGCCACATGAGTCACAGGGCCCCGGGGAAAGCTGCACTGGGGTGGAGCAGGTGGTGCTCTTCACGATCTCCACTTCCCAGAGCCTTTCATTTGTACTATTTCAATGAAGATGCTTCCCAGAGGTTCTAAGACTGCAGGGCATAGTCTTAAAGCTAAGCTGGACATTCCAAACCCGTTCAGAAGATAATGGGGAGGGTGGGCAAGGGAGGAGCATTGATGAAGAAAGGGGAATCAGATGACTTGTTGGGCCAGAGCTCACTTCAAAGAAAAGAATTCTGAGGGAAAAGAATGGCAGAGAGAAAAAGAGAAATTGAAGCCAAGGAGCCTTGATCAAGTGAAAACTAAAAGCCAGGTGAAACAAATGTAGCCTCAATCTGGACAGACACGTGAGCTAGTAAATTCAAGTTTGGTAACAAATAGGAACTTCTCCCCCAGAGCAGTCCACTGCTGGGAAACCACATCTGGCTGGCTCGTTCCACAATGCATTCCATATGGATTAAATCTTGTTGGCTTGACACTAACTTCCAGATCAAAGGACATTTCTAAAAATAGCCTTACTTTAAAGCTGATGCTTGATGAATAAACAGAGTAGACAAGAAGTCCACAGGCCTATTTGATAGCACATTGTCTCAGCAGAGAAACCCATTTCCTCCCGAGGCTGTCAAGGCCAAGAGGCACAGACCATCCCAAGGAAGGTGAAGTACAGAGCTCCTGCCAGCACCCCTCACGGTGAGATAAGCTCAGACAGTGCGCACACAGTCTGGCCCTATTCCTGTGGCCTCGCAGATGTGTCTGCTCCAGCTGCCGCAGAGGAAAAAGGAAGACGGCAGTCCTGGGAACAATGCCCTAGTTGGGCGGCCAAGAGGAAGGAGTCGGCCATCGGTTTAGACTGCAACCAGCCTTATCTTGAAATCTTGCACCCTCAACATACTTTTAAGATGTGGAAGACAAGGACCGTTTCTTTTCAAAGTCAGTTGCTCAAGAAAGAATTTACTGTGGATTTCTGGCATGATCCCAAGGTCATGGAATTTGAAAGAAGGGATTAACACTTTAGTGAAAATATTCTTTATGCCAGGCATCGTGCTCAGTGCTTAACAATTGTAATCTCATTTAATCCTCACCACAACTTAAGGTGGTTCACACTATCCCTCTTTGACTGATGAAGCAACTCCAGGAGGGTCAGCATGTTCTTAGGTCACAGGGTGGCAGAGCCTGTGGGACTCCAAATGCCAGACTCTTCGCATGCCTTGATGTCATGCTGGGGTAGAGGGCAAGACGACAATCCAACTGAGTAATGAGGGAGGCTGAGAAAGCAAGCCGGTCTCTGAGTCTTCTCAGGGGCGCTGTGCTGGCCTAATGGGCTTGGGAAACCTCGGGAAGGCTGACTCAGGACAATGCTTGTGTCACCAACCTGTTCCGCCAGCCCAAGTGTTGCCGCCCACATGAGGCATGTTGTCTGGGTCCTCCTTCCCGTGTTTGGGGGAGCTTACATCTTCACCACTGTCTCTGTTGATTGTTATCTAAAAATGAAGAATGGAGACATGTTTACTATCCTGTGACAAACATCAGGAACGGCATGACAGAAAAAAAAATTTTTTTCCTCCTAAGTCCTTCAGTTATCACATAACCTCAGGCCAATGGACTTGATAAATGCTGTGAGTATTTGGCAAAAATTCCATCAGATGGATTCCAACATCCATCTAGTTGGGAAGGAGAACTAATTTTTTAAAAAACTCAAAGAAAAGTAAAGGAGCTGGACTGCTTATAGCTACAGAATGTTTCTGGTGCAAACCAAGCTGTGAGCATTTACCAGGGCATGAGACTTACCAGATGCAGGGAAAATGGATCTCACTGGAGAGGGGTATTTTGCCAGTGGTTTAAAAGGATCACCACCTAGCTGATCCAGCTGAGTCATTATATACACATTTACCCATTCTATTTTCAAAGAAATCCCATTACTCTGAGAAATGCCATTTTACATAAAATATATGGGAAAGAAAAACAAAAAGTTATGTATGTATGCCTTAGTGATAGATTTATGTTATACACTAAAAACTGCTTATTTATTTTTTGGACCCACTTCAATTTTTATTATGGTATTTTGTAGCTTTCCTAATTCATCTTTATTGTAAAACTAGATTTATGATTCCTGCAATTCAAACAGAATAAGTAGTACTTTAGCCGCCTTCTGTGAGAGCCTGAAGTTCATTTCTTCCTTTCATTCAGTACAGTGTCACCAAAAGGAGTGATAATCACACAGAAATTTCAATCCTAGTAGTCAGTTCAGTAGATACTACTCCACAATAAAAAGAAAACAAAGCATTCACATTTTATGCACACTATGAGCCTGCTCTCAGATGTAATGATTTCCTAGAAGACAAGATCAAATTCTCATTCATTTGTTCAAATAAGACTCACAGAAAATGTACTGATGGGACATTCTGTGAGGTACCATGGGGCCTACGCCATGGAGGATTGGTTCCTGCCCTCAAACTGCTTACAGTGGAACAACAGAGCTTACAAATAAATGGGCCTGAAGTGGGTCTTTACAGTTAACCATTCCATGTTGGTACCTGGGTTTTTCATTCTTGATGTTGGGATTAATGCAGTTAGGTAGGTAATTTGAGGTCTTTGCAAATAAAATGGCCATTAAGAATAAAATCAACATAACTTCTATTGTCTTATGTCCAAGTTGGTTCATTTCAAGTGTTATGACATCGTAGGGATTTTAATTAGCTGGGCTTTTCTGCAAATAGCTTTGGCAGCACCAACAAAATTTTTGCCAAAACTTCAGCATACTCCAAGAAAATTTAGCAGGCAGACATGACAATTGATATAAATTCCACACACATAATCATGCTCTAAAAATGGGTGAAAATAATTTTTCCTCCTGTTTTCTTAAACAAGCAAGATAGCTAGGAACATTTAGAGAAAAACTCCCAATCTAGAGTGCAGTGGTGGGATTTTGGCTCACTGCAACCTCTGCCTCCCAGGTTCAAGCAATTCTCCGACCTCAGCCTCCCAAGTAGCTGGGATTACAGGCACCTGCCACCATGCCCAGCTAATTTTTTTTATTTTTAGTAGAAACGGGGTTTCACCATGTGGGCCAGGCTGGTCTTGAACTCCTGACCTCAAGTGATCCACCCGCCTCGGCCTCCCAAAGTGTTGGGATTACAGGCATGAGCCACTGTGCCAAGATACATTTTTTTTTAATATAATAAGAAGATACTTTATTTTTAAACATAAAGACACAATTTATTTTTTATTTCTTCTTTGTTTTTTATATTTTAAGTTCTAGGGTACATGTGCACAATGTGCAGGTTTGTTACATATAGTATACATATGCCATACGCTTTGCTGCACTCATTAATTCGTCATTTATGTTAGGTATTTATCCTAATGCTATCCCTCCCCAAGCCCTCACCCCAGGACAGGCCCCAGTGTGTGATGTTCCCTACCCTGTGTCCTAGTGTTCTCACTGTTCAATTCCCACCTGTGAGTGAGAACATGCGGTGTTTGGTTTTCTATTCTTGCAATAGTTTGCTCAGAATGATGGTTTCTAGCTTCATCCATGTCCCTGCAAAGGACATGAACTCATCCTTTTTTATGGCTGCATAGTATTCCATGGTGTATATGTGCCACATTTTCTT